TTAAACCACCTAGTATTTTAAAAGTTTAAAATACACCCTTATACTATATAAAATTAAAAAGTTTAATATATTATATGTATAAGTAAAAAATCAGTTTTACCATTAGTAGGCCTCATTCACGAAGTCGGTCTATAAGTGAGGGTATAAGGTTATTGCCTATAAAATGGCGGTTTAATGGGTGTTCACTCTCACCCACCGCTTCCTTGACTAGTGGAGTATCGTTAGCCAAACGGTTAGAATAGGACATTAATTCTCATTAAAAGAATAATGAAAATACCAAGTAACTAAACACTTATAAATTCCCAATCTTAGTTACTTTGAAAAAATGTGAATTTGGTGCTAACCCATGAACTTGCACATTGGACCTTATTAGTCGTTAGTGGAGCGTGTGTGGTTAACCGACACACTAATTTGGGACTAATGAAGGATGGCAATGGGTAGCTCGATGTTAATCATAGATCAATGGAGCGTGTGTCGTTAACCGGCACATTGATTAAGTGATTTGAAACATTAAGTGTACCAAGCTAATTTGCATGGTTATTCACACCTTGTTTGTGATCCCCGAAATCCCAGTCACAAACTTGAAGGGCATAATCGAGATTTAAACATGCCGTTGAAAAGTTCAATGAATCTCAAAGAATCTAGAAATTTCAATTCATTTAAAACCTAAAATTCATTTTCGTTTTTAATGGTGGAAATTGGTAAATCGCCATTTACCTACCTTCAAATATTTTACAGTTGGATTACGGCATCCCTCTTCCGAATTGTAGAATATTGTGTTGGGTCCTAGCCTTACTATTTCATTTTGGGTGTTATATTAAGAATTTAAATCAACTAACTTGAATTTCTTCCATTATAGATGTCTAGGTCAGACAACTATGGTCTTCCCAAATCTTTTGGAAAAAGCTTTCCTTATGAAGATGATATCCCACGATTGGATCATGGAAATGGAAATCATACTTCACTTCCTCCACCCCCTCCAATAATTCTCCCTAACCCACAAGTTCAAAGACTTTAAAATTTCATTGTCACTCAAGCCATATTGGCAAGCAAACATTAAGATGGAAGGTCTGTGTGCACATGTCTTGGAGATGAAGTCATACATTGACATGTTGGGAATGTTAGGAGTTATTGTGTCGAGGAAGTTAACTGTTGGCTGGGTTCTTCAATCACTTCCTGAGTCATATGTTGAGTTCATTAAAGATTACTATATGACATACTGTGGCACGTCCCTTATCGATCTTACATATTTGCTAATTGTTGTTGAATCAGTAATGATTTAGCGCACTAGTAATGCAAATTTGATTGAAAGATCTACTTCCCAAACTTCCAGGGACATTAACAATGGAAACATTGGAAGCACAAAAAAGATTTCTCTTTCCAAGGGAAAAGGGAAGGCTAATTATGAGATGTCATGTGTATCATTCCAAAAGAATCTATTTGTTTTTATTGCCAATAGAAGGGGCATTGGTTGCGAAGCTGTCATATCTACCTGAAGGACCACAATGATGGTAAAGTCAAAAAGTTTGACTCCCTTCAAGTAAGTCAACTGTCTAACTGTATTAAGTTCCTATTGGTAGATTCTTAATACATGATGTGATAAGATTACATTTTGATGTTTTGTAGGATCAAGGGAAGCTTAAAGGAAAAGCATGTTGAGAAAGAGGTTATATATGATTTATTAATATATTATAAATATAATATATTAATATGAAATCATATTGTTTAATTAGTATTGATCAAGAATTAATTTGGAATTAATTTAGTGATCAAAAGAGACTAATTAAATTAACGGGGACTGATTATTTAATCATTAATATATGGTGTTTGGGCTATTGATCCATGCTGGGTTAAGTTTATGAAAGTATCCATAAGAGTTAACCCACATGAGATATGGATCATAACTCAAGTGTATGGATTAGGGTTTACCCATGACTCTTGGAATCCTACACTATATAAATGTTACCCCTTAGCCAAAATCGGTTGACACAAAGTGTTCTAAGAGTTCATATAACCGATTGTGTATGCTCCATACTCTCTCTTAAAGTCCTCCTTTGTTCATGGTGTTTGTGAACCATTTGAGGCATCACATTTGAGGTGTTGAGCTCTTGAATTGCCAAAACTACAAGCTATAATAAGGAGGTATTATTCTATCTAGTTTTATGATTCATGTACCAAATTGTACGCTAGATGTAGGCTTCATGCTTTGAAAATTTTATTGCATGTATAGTTAGAGAAAACATAGATCCAAAGCATTTAGAGTTGCATGTGCACCATAGCTTAAAACCCAACAAAGGTGACCAGAGATGATCAAGAGAAATATTAGGGAAGGTAAAGGAAGTTAGGCGGTTATCCATATTTAACCTAAATGATAGAAGAGATAGAGAGAGTGAGATTTTACTGCGTAATGATGCTCATAGAACAGATAAATCCTATTCGATTAGGGTTTGAAAATCAAATTCATTATCTCATTTTTTTTAATATGCCTTAAATATTGGAAATTAACATTAATATTTTGTAAGTATAATTTGGGGGCAATTGTTAGGGGCAGGATCCTAGAATCATATTCAGGATCCTTAATATTTCTGAAGCCTTATTTACTAAGACTTTTAACGACTATATTCTTCTTTCTTTTTCTCACTTGTGCAAAAGTAGTCAAGATAAGACTCGTTCTCAATGGAGAACCACTTCAACCAAGCTTAAGACCCGAGAATACCAAGTCAAACAATGTGCAAATATTCATCCCAGATGATCCCAAAAATATCAGACTTCTTGTTTCTTAGTCTAGGCTATAAATAAAACATGTAAATCGCACACTACACACACATAAAAGCTTTACTAATTCACTTGTACTCGTATTATCTTCATTATCACTGTAAACCTACTTTGAGATTAATAAACACAACAAGACAGGTGATTATTATCACCTCCCAAGGTTTTATGCCAGAGATCCTAACAAGGATCAAGGTCTTCCCTTGTAAACTCGCTTGTGTCATTTATATTCCATTAGCATATTCAAATTGATCACAACACCACAGCCTCTCATACAATTTGGTTGATTCCTACTTCATTATTTTTCGACCAAAACACCAACAATGTGTGATTCATGTTTAATATCTTCAACCGCTCCTCGTTATCAACATCATAACCAAAAGAAGATTTTGATGCTTTATCATCCTTTCTATTTTCCCAATCTCCTTATGATAGACACAACCACCAATAAGGATGTAACGGATAAAGAATTTGCCAACACCAACACTCGAGCTTATGTAATGATCACTCTTGAGCTCGAGGAACTAAACTACGATGCCTAGAGAAATCTCTTTCAAGCATGTTGCATTACCTTCGATGTTAATCACCCTTTGGCCGATTCCGCACCCGAAAACACATCCATATATTAGTCCATATTTGACTCCTGTTGTGAAACTATGGTTGTACTACACCTTTCACAAGTCTCTAACTCGAATGATCCTCAAAATATCATAATTATGTATCACATATGGTGGTGATGGTGACAGTAATGGTGGATGTAATAGCAGGTGGTTGTGTGTGTTGGTGATAGTGGTGACGGAGGTAGTGGTGGTTGCGGTAGTGGTGATTGACAATTGTGGTAATGGTGGGATGGTGGTGGTGGAGGTGTAAGTGGTTGTGGTATTGGAGGAGATGGTAGTGGTGATGGTGGTGGTAGCAACGAAGGTGGTGGCGGTAGTGGTTGTTGGAAAGGCATCCAAGGTTATTAACTATTGGTAATATTTCTAATAATAACATCACCATTTTGGGTTAACCTCATGACTCAATTGAGCAATAAAGAATTAAGTGAAATAAATTTGTTAATTTATTATGAATAAAAAAATTAATTAGAAATTATTTTGAAATTAATTAAATAGCTTTAATTAATAAAAAGGGATTGAATATTAACTAGTTAAAAGTTAACTTATTGGAATATTCCATAATTTCTAAGGAATAAGGGATTTTTGAAAATGCATCCATCTCACATAGGATTGGAGATGTATTTGGGATAATGATCTAAGACTATAAATAAGGTGTTAGGGATCTCATCATTCCTTGCACCTTGGCTTGAGATTTCGTCAATCCTTTCTTCCACCTTCTAGTGAACGATTTCCAAACCCTTGTAGGGTTTTTTGAGATTAATCATTTCTCCTAGTATCCTTTGGATCTGCTCTTGGTGTCTTGGTGCGAAGCAAAAGAAGGATTACTACTTTGGGTCCTTTCATCCAAGAAAATATGGTTGTTGCAAGATCTTAAATGAGGAATCAAGAATATCAAGATCAAGATCAAGACCAAGAGGCTAGTGTTTGTACTATTTTTTTTTTCAAAATAGGTTGCTATAATATAATAAACCTGGATCTATTAAGGTGCATGAACACATATGTTTTTATTATGTTTTTGTTGCAGTGGCAAATTTAAAACCCAAAACCATGTGGTTTCTTATGTAAATGAAACAGAAAAAATAAGAGAGTAAATAATACTAAAGGCGGCCTAGTACTTGACGGAGGGGTGGTGTTAGGATTATAGTGATAGTCAGATGACGAATGACAAACGACAGAGAGCAAAACTAGTGGTCGGGTGGGAGTGATCATCAGGACAATATCATATGATGCTTCAAAGATGTTGATAATACCTCAGTCCAAACGTCGTTTATATTTCAAGACTTTTTTTTTTATATTTTTTTTCTTTTTTTACGTGGATGGAGGCATTGAGTTATTTAAATGGATTGAAATATAAACTATAGGCTTCATATATTTTTTAAATATGTTTTCTAATAAAATAACAAAAATAAAATAAAATATAAAAGAATATAAACGTCGACACCTGATCACCTAAAACAGAAATCCAAACCATGGTTCGATTTAAAAAAGATGAGGACCAAATATGCAGATCATCTCAAACCGCAGTGACCATTCTTGTAATTTACTCTAAAAAATCAGTTACTAAATATTCTTCAGAGAAAAAGCGCCTTTCTTCTATGCTATTCTCTTCTCTTCGCCATTCCCCTGTTTCTGATTCATCTCTTGGGGATTTGTTGCTCAATTCGCCCCTCCCTACTAAAATTCACTACTATTTTCAAATCCAAATTCAGTTCTATATTCAAATCATCAATCACACTGCTCAAATATTATTTTTTATCACTATTCTTTTGTTAATGTATTGTGTGATAATTGCATTAATTGCTCAATTCGACCTCCCTCATCAAAAGTCGATTCAAATTCAGTACGATATTCAAATCCTCAAACCCCACGGCTGACTTCGGTGTCACCTCCTCCATTAACCACCTTGACACGGAGGTGGTTTTTTCTTTGATTCACTTTCACAAGTTAGATCATTCGTATACTTTGTATTTGTTACAATCGATTTACAATAACTGGGGATTTTCCTTTTGATTTTGATGGATCCGAAGCCGTGGCTACATCCGGCTCCAACCTATTTCCCATTGGAGACGTATTGGGACACAGATGATGACGCCCCTGGCCCTCGCTGTGGCCACACTCTTACCGCCGTTGCCCAAACCAAATCACACGGACCTCGTCTTATTTTATTCGGTGGCGCTACCGCCATTGAAGGAGGCACCTCCACCGGCATCCGTAATCATCATTCATTTCATCTCAACTTTTATTTTATATACAATTTGTTGTAATATAAGCATAATGATAACTTTTTGTTCATTTATTAACTTCAGGATTAGCCGGAGTGACAAACTCTGTTCATTCGTATGATGTTCTTACTAAAAAATGGACGAGGTTACTTCAGTTCTACGCTGTTCTTGCGTTTAAATTCCTTATACTGCTTAGAAATCAAATGTTGATTTGCTAAAACGTTTCTCAGAATGCGTCCAGCTGGGGAAGCCCCTTCACCCAGGGCTGCTCATGCAGCTGCTTCTGTTGGAACCATGGTTGTATTTCAGGTGATTAAGTAGTACATTTACAATCCAAAAGCAGAAGTATGAGAATGCATGGTTGTATTACCTGAAAAACACATCAAAACACCCAATTTGTTTTTGAATTCGTGGTTCTAATCTATGATAAAGTTGATATTGCATTAATAGGGTGGCATAGGTCCTGCTGGCCATTCAACCGATGATCTCTATGTGCTCGATTTGACTAATGACAAATACAAATGGCACCGGTAGGCTTCTTTTATAAAAGTTTAGACTGATAATCTTCTCTTGTAATGTATTTTCCCTTTAGATTTTGATTTGGTTTTCTTGCTTTTGAGTACAGAGTTGTTGTTCAAGGACAGGGTCCGGGCCCACGTTATGGCCATGTTATGGACTTGGTTGCCCAACGATACCTTGTTACTGTTAGTGGCAATGATGGTGAGTACAATAATCAATTCACATTTGTATACCATATCTTTTTAATTGTTCATAAACATATAATATCATCTGTTTTCCCCAGGAAAGAAAGTGCTTTCAGATACTTGGGCTCTGGATACTGCTCAAAAACCATATATGTGGCTGAGGTTAAATATAGAAGGTGATAAGCCTTCTGCTAGAATGTAAGTATGTATTTCAAAATTCAATTTTTTCTTTTTTCTTATCTCTAAGATTTTAGCTAATTAGAGGACCAAAATCGCACATCAGGATACTGGAGGGACCGGTTAGTAATTATTCATGAATACTCTCTGCAGGTACGCAACAGCTAGTGCCCGCTCAGATGGTATGTTTCTACTTTGTGGTGGAAGAGACACCTCAGGCTCGGTATGGCATATTGTTTCAGTATATCCCCTCGGCCTTAAGAATAATATTTAAGTACAACTTTCTTGTCAATAGAAGTAAACTTTAAATGGAAAATTTTATATTGTGTATATATGCATCTCCAGCCTTTGTCAGATGCTTATGGACTGATGATGCATAAAAATGGAGAATGGGAATGGACACTTGCACCTGGAGTTTCACCATCATCAAGGTACCAACATGCTGCGGTAAGTCATACCTTTACATGAGTGTGTATGTGTAGAAAAATATAAAACTGTCCCAAATTTCCTTTTGTTTTAATCCTACATGGTATTAATTAACTTATTTGCTTATTGTGATCAGGTATTTGTTGGTGCTAGATTGCATGTGACGGGAGGTGCTCTTAGGGGAGGAAAAATGGTAGATGGTGAAGCAGCCCTTTCAGGTTAATGTCGGTTTTAACTTTGTAAAAAAAAAATACTATATAGAGTTTTTCCACTTCTAGTAAAAAGGTAAAAGGGTAATTAAAAGTGTACATTTTACAGTATTGGACACTGCTGCTGGAGTTTGGTTGGATAGAAATGGATTGGTGACTTCTTCACAGAGCAACAACAATGGGCAAATGGAAGATGAGTCTTTGGAGCTCATGCGTCGCTGTAGGCATGCCACGTCATCGGTCGGTTCTCGTTTGTATGTGTATGGTGGTCTTAGGGGAGGTAACAGTAACACACTAAAAGCTCCCTATTTAAAATGGAACCTTGGCGTCCTACAACTACTTATTTCATGTGTTGTCAGATTATAATAATTACTTGTTACATTTGCTGCAGATCTATTGTTAGGTGATTTTCTGGTAGCAGAGAATTCGCCTTTTCATTCTGATGCAAATAATCCTGGATTAACATCTGAAAAGTGTTCAAATATGGCAAGTCCCAGGACGAATTTGTGCCCATTTGATCCTATATCTCAAGATGATGGACATGAAAGTCCCTTAAGGTTATCCTTAATTGTTTTGGTCCATTTTAGTGTGTGTAGAAAATATATATATATATATATATATATACATATATATATATATATATATATATATATATATATATATATATATATATATATATATATATATATATATGCTTAATTACCCTAATCGAAAATCACTGACATGTTTGTGTGTGCAGTGTGGATAAAGAAGCTAGTCAGAGGGTGGCTGAAGCTGATGCTGTTCATTCTACGTGGCAAGCTGCACAAACACATATTGCAACTTCAGTGATGACAAATCAAGCTACGGGGATTAATACAGAAGGTGGTGATAAACCAGGAGATGTGCATCTTCACCCTAGAGCAGTAAGTGTTGTCTTCGTTCATTAATTAAGACACCTGAATATATTATATGCATCAGAAAGTTGAAAGCTTTAATTATTATTTGATATATATACATACACTATTAAATATTAATTATATATTTATTACGTACAGGTTGTGATTGCTAGAGAGGCAATAGGAAACCTAGGTGGATTGGTGCGACAGCTGTCACTGGATCATTTTGAGAATGAAAGCAAACGGATGATGCCTGACATGTCACATCCTGGCGCCAAACGTTTCATGAGGCAAAAGTCACCTCAAGGCTTGCACAAGAAGGTTTAATTAAATTTTGTTTTTGAATTAATAATTAATATATATAGATAAATAATATAATGTGTGTGTGTGTGTGTTTTATTATATGTATATATATTCAGGTGATTTCTAGTTTGCTTACGCCTAGAAACTGGAAACCGCCTATCGAAAGGACGTTTTTCCTGGATGCTTATGAAGTGGGAGAGCTTTGTTACGCTGCTGAACAAATCTTAATGCAGGAGGCGACTGTTCTTCAGTTGAAAGCTCCGGTTAAAGTGTTTGGTGATTTACATGGACAGTTTGGTGATTTGATGCGATTATTTGATGAATATGGTTTCCCCTCAACTGGTGGAGATATAACGTACGTAACACACAATCTCATTCAGATCTTAACTAAACTAACATGTCTGAGTAGTGAGTAGGTTTGGTTTGGTTTTGTTTCAGATATATCGACTATTTATTCCTAGGAGATTATGTTGATAGAGGACAGCATAGCTTGGAGACAATCACTTTGCTCCTTGCTCTAAAGGCAGGCAAATTTCTACTTCTACTTCATGTAGCTTATAACAATATTCCAATTACACATTACACTTGTGTATTAATTGTTTATTATCATCATGTATATTTACTGTTTGTAGATTCAGTATCCTGACAACGTTCACTTGATACGTGGGAATCATGAGGCAGCTGATATAAATGCGCTATTTGGTTTTCGACTTGAATGCATAGAGAGAATGGTACGTACGTACGTATGTGAGTGTGATTAGTGGGGTTAATTTGGAAGATTAGGTTTTTAATTCGGGATGATATGTGATTAATTATGATATGAAGGGGGAGAACGATGGGATATGGGCGTGGCAGCGGTTTAATCATCTGTTCAATATTCTTCCACTAGCGGCGCTGATTGAGGACAAGATAATCTGTATGCATGGTGGGATTGGAAGGTCGATTCATTTGGTAGAACAGATTGAGAAAATAGAGAGGCCCATAACCATGGATGCTGGATCTGTTGTCCTCATGGATTTGCTATGGTATGGTAGCCTTTCGTAAACCCTAAAGAGTAAAGTTTTTATATAATCTCCCATTGTTCCATCCATCCATCTTTTTTTTTTTTTTATCATTAATTTAGGTCTGATCCGACGGAAAACGATAGTGTGGAAGGTTTGAGACCAAATGCAAGGGGACCCGGTCTTGTTACGTTTGGGGTATGATACGACGACGTGTTCAATGGGCTAATTAATCTTCATATTCTACGTTAATTGCATTTGGTGTATATTATTATTAAGCATCATCATATTGAAGTGTAACTAACTAGTTGCATTGCAGCCTGATAGGGTTGCAGAGTTTTGTAAAAGAAACAAACTTCAAATGATTATAAGAGCCCACGAATGCGTGATGGACGGTTTTGAGAGGTTTGCTCATGGACAGTTGATTACCCTTTTCTCCGCAACAAACTATTGTGGTAGGGGAGGCTCTTCAATTTAATTTAAAAAAATAATAATAATAATAATCAAATTGACAAAATTAAATGTGTGTTGATAATTGGATTCAGGGACTGCTAATAATGCTGGAGCAATACTGGTGATTGGGAGAGGATTGGTGGTTGTTCCTAAACTTATTCATCCTTTACCACCACTCACACACACACAGACACTCACACTTGAACCAGAATCAAATCCACAACATCTCCCACCCCCGGAGGAAAACAATTGGATGCAGGTAATTAACTAAATAATAATCTTTTATTTATTTATTTTTGCATAAATTTTGTTTTTCTTGTGTTTGTAGGAGCTTAATAATCAAAGACCACCAACTCCTACTCGGGGTCGCCCTCAACCTGATCAAGACAGGACCTCACTTGCGTATATCTAATCCACACATTCCAACCAAGCTGTTTACTGCTTATAATCATTACAAACTTGTTGCAAAGTTTTGTTGAGTAATTTATTTGCAACAAATAATTTCTAACTTTTTTCTACATTATTTTATAAATGAATTATGTATGCAATAAGTACTAGTTATTACCACTTCATTACAGATGGAAAATCTGTTCTGTTCTGAATAATCATAAATATCGGTTTCTATATATATGGGCTGTCATGGTTTCGATTTACTTTTTCATTGCATTCACAATTTCACATCACAATTAGCTTTAACTAAAACAAGGTCTATATTAATGGGTGGTGGTATTATTATTTGAAAATAAGTAGCTAATGTCCACTTGTTTCACTTTTCATTAAATTTCTCTCACCCCTATTTTACTTACCTTAACTTTAAAATTGACTGATATTTGAGGAAAGGGAAAGGAAAGTAGAGGAAGGGGTCCGGATAATTATTAAGGTGGTGTTTGTTTTTTTGCCAAAAAGTCTTTTTGGCCTCTAATGTCTACAGGAGGAAAGACATTTGAGAAAAAAAAAAAAAAAAAAAAAAAAAAAAAAAAAAAAAATATTTTTCAGAAAACAAAAGACATAATAATGTCTTTTTGACATCTTTTTTCCGGAAGACAAAAAAAATAACTTCTAAGTTTGGAAGACATTTTCTAAGTTATAATCATGATGTGATATTTCTTTTTCCATCACCACTACCACCACTGCTACCGATACCTCTGCCACCCACCATACTCTTATCTCCTCCACCACCATCAACATCAACGCCAACCAACCAATTTTTTATAGAAGATTTTAAAAAAACAAACAATTTTTTATGAAGACAAAAGACATGAAAAAAGACTTTAGGTCCACATCTTATTCGTAGACATGGAAAAAGACAAAAGATATTTTATCTCTTTCAAAACAAACATGTTACACTAAAGTCAATTCTTACTTTAATGGAAGAAAGGAGTTCACACATAAAAAAAAATAAAAAAAAATAAAAAAAAAAGGATAGAGAGAGTATTTTTGTTATTACTCAAAAGTTGTCTCACCTATTGCTTCAAAAAAATGGTGCAGAATGCAAGTTCATCGTACCTATTACAACTAACAAAACAAGATGAGGATAAAGAAGTTAAACCAACATGTATGACATCATAAATGAAGATGCTACCTGAAGTGCAACAGTTTGTTAATCAATATAAAGACGTTTTTGAAGAGCCAAAAGGCTTACCACCTTCAAGGGGGCATTTGATCATTAAATTTCATTAGAAGAAGGCATTGGATCTGTGAGTATTAGACCATACAGGTGCCCACTTAAACAAAAAGATGTAATTGAGAAGTTAGTCCAAGAAATGTTAGATAATGGAATTATTCAGAATAGTTCCAACCCATTTGCTTCACTCGATTGTTTTAGTGGGAAAGAAAGGTAGTTAATGGCGCTTATGTGTGGATTATAGAGAATTGAATAGAAAAAACAATCAAAGATAAGTTTCCTATTCCGGTTATAATGTGCTCATTGATGAATTGGTTGGGGCAACAGTGTTCAGTAAACTTGATCTAAGAGCAAGGTATCACCAACTAAGAGTTCATTCTAATGACATATATAAAACCACATTCAAAACTCATACCGGTCACTATGAGTTTTTAGGTATGCCCTTTGGGCTAACTAATGCTCCTTTCTTTTAGTATTGGACGAACAACGTTTTCAAATCTTTATCAAGGAAATGTACATCGGTCTTTTTCGATGATATATTTGTTTACAACAAATCCATTGATGAACATTGGCAACAAATGTATACCAAAGATTCTAAATGTGAGTTTGAACTAGAAAATGTGGAGTATTTGGCGCATTTTAATTAAGGAAAAAGGTGTTGAAACAGATCCAAAGAAGATAAAAGTTGTGTCAAATTGGGTATCTCAAATCATCCAAAGAAGATAAAAGTTGCGTCAAATTGGGTATCTCAAATCATCCTTTGGCATATATCAGCAAATCATTAGGACCTAAATGTAGGGTGGCAATTGTTGATAAGACATGAAAAAATACACGATACGAAACGAATTGGGACGAAACTGAATTTGAATTCGTGTTCGTGTCAATTGTAAAAAACACGATGTCGTGTCATGTCATGTTCGTGTTCGAAATTCGATATGAAATTGACATGATTTATCTCTATCGTGTTTTTCATGTTTGTCGTGCTATATATGATTAAGTATTAATCAAATAAACTAATTGTTATTTATGTTATCTTTGTCGTGTCGTGTCGTGTTTGTTATTTTTAATCGGTTTGTTTTCGTGTTGGTTAAAAAAACGACATTGTATCGTGTCGTGTTCGTGTTACATAAAATCTTGTTGTGTCAGACAAAAACACAAACACGACATGATAACCCGTTTTGACACCCTTACCTAAATGGCAAAACCTTTTGGTGTATGAGAAAGAATTGTTAGCAATTGTATTTGTTGTTCAAAAGTGGGAATAATATTTTTCGGGGCAACATTTTATCATCAAAACAGATCAGATGAGTCTTAAATGCTTACTACAACAAAATATATCTTGCCCCTTTTCGACAATTTTGTCTGTCCAAACTTTGGTTTTCGATTATGAAATCCAGTATAGAAGTGGGAAAGAAAACATAGTTGTTGATGCACTTTCAAGTGCTCAAGGTTCAGAGCTCTTATGCATGGCTATTTCTCCGGTCTAATTTAATTCAACTCATAAAGAATATTTATACTTTAGATGGAAAAGTAGGAGTGGCAAAATCGTACTATCGTTTCATGTTTCTGTCTGACGCGACACGACACAACAATGTTTTATGTAACATGAACAAGACACGATACGATGTCGTGTTATTTTTACCTAACATGAAAACGAACGAATTAAAAAACAACAAATACAACACGACACGACAAACATAACATATACTAAAAACTAGTTTGTTCAATGAATACTTTATCAAATATAACACGAAAAACACGATAAAGAACTGCTAAATCGTGTCAATTTCATGTTGAATTTTGAGCACGAAGATGACACGACACGACATCGTGTTTTTTACAGTTAACACGAACACGAATTCAAATTTTAGTTTTGTCCCAATTTCGTTTTGTGTCGTGTATTTTTGTCGTGTCATGTCCTAAATTGTCACCCCTATGGAAAAGTGACGACAATAATCCAACTACTTCATCAGCAATAATTGATTCAAAGATGGCATTTTAAGGAAGAAATGACAGATTTTTATTGGAGATAGTGAAGACTTAAAAATGAAAATACTTCAATGGCAACACACAACAGGGGAAGCTAGACATTCTAGAAGAGATGACACATTAAGAAGGGTCAAAAGTTTGTTTACTTGGAAGGTTTTCACCAAGGATGTGAGTAGATTTGTTAAGCAATGTACCATATGTCAAGTTTCCAAGTCAAAAAATATAGTATATCCAAGGCTTTTACAGCTTCTACCAATTCCTGATGAAGTATGGGTGAACATTTCTATGGATTTTATTCGGCCATTGAAGTAGCTCAATGCTATTTAGATAATGTGCTCAGACTTCATGGATGGCCTCGAACTATTGTTAGCCATAGAGATGCTATTTTTCTAAGTCCATTTTGGAAAGGATTGTTTGTTTTACATGGAATAGAGATGAAGCTTTCTTCTACTTATCATCCCCAAACTGATGGTCAAACAAAAGTAGTAAACAGATGCTTAGAGACTTATTTGAGGTGTATGTGTACACCAAAAGAATGAAGTTTTTGGTTACCTTTGGCAGAATGGTGGTTCAATACTCATTATTGTATGACACCTTATGAAGTAGTGTTATAATCAGCCACCTCCAATACATTTGCTATATCTTCCAGGAAAATCAAATGTGGAATCCATTGATAGATCATTGAGAAAAAAGGAAATGATGATTAATTCTTTGAAACATCATTTAACAAAAGCTTAATTCAAAATGAAACAACAAGCTGATAAACATAGATCGGAGAGAACATTTAGTATTGGGTATTGGGTATGGCTAAAACTTCAACCGTATAGACAATAATCAATTCATGTAGGGGCAAATCAGATATTTATACATCTATTGTGGTAAGTGACTCATTTACTTATAACTAACATTATTCCCATATCAAAACACCACCTAAGATAGTAAGATATGACAAGCGTTAAGAATACAATTGCCATTTAACAAAATTACCACACCTTAGTTGTGCAACTAATCGAGTTGCAAATTTGCAAGATTACACCACAGCAACCAAAAAAATTACAATAATTTAAAAGATACTATCTAGAACTTGCAATTTATAGGAATGTAAGAAACACATCAGCTGGCCAAGTAACTACTATAAAAAAATAAAAAAAAATAAAAAAAAAAAAAACTAGATGATAAAACAATGAACTGACAAATGTAAAATGACATAAAAAAAATATTTAGATATATAACTAATTATAAACTAGTTAACACCAAACTTGGCCAACGAACTATTACAATTAAAGAAAAAAACACAATTTGTAAAAATGGAATTCTCTTTATAAAACAATTGTATAAAATGAATATGCAAGGACAATGAGAAAAAAGCTGTAAAAAATGTTTTTTTTTTTTTTTAAATTGTAAAGATAGCTTTAAATTTTAAAAAAGAAAATTTTAATAAAATTTGAGCATACAGAAAATTTGTGGAAAAGCCTTAGAAGCGTATGAATAATCATCTCAAATGGTTTTTAAAAAACTAGCAAGCTATTTTAGTGGTCTCCCCAAACACTATATTACAATAAGCTAAAAAAAATAAAGCTAGCTTAAAAAATTGATCGGTCAATTTTTGTGATTAATGAAAAAAGTGGTCTTTCTTAATGCGGAAAGCCTCATTTCTCTAATCTTGTGTATTAAACGGTTCTTAATGCATCAAGTGAAAAAGGAAAACATGCACAAAAAGAAAAAGAAACTTGTAAAACGGATAAACCGATGTAGTCATTAGCTGTAAAGGCACATATATCGTCTACAGTCTACCTACTCCCACCAGGGATCCCAAAGTTTTTTAAACAACACCAACCAAAACCAGGGGTGTATATATCATTATCATATATGCAGAAACCAAACTTGTATCTTATATACCTCAACTCCACTCATCTAGGGTTTTGCTGCTGTTCATCATGATCAAGGTTGTTTCCCCCCCAGTTCCCGGTCCCACTCGCTTGATGCACACCAACACCAACACCAACACCACTTTCTCCATCTGTATGCATAACATATTGGGCTTCCAAGTTTCTGTTGTGTTGACTTCCTTGACCTTGACCACCAGAACCAGATGGAGCCTGGTCAAAGAACTCATCAGGACTCTCCGGCGTGTCGGAAACCGGGTCCGTTCCTGACCCCCCACCTTGCTTCTCCCCGCCTGAAGCCACACGCGCATCCTTAGCAGCTGCACGCGCTAGCTTCGCCTTCCGGTTATTCAACCTAACATCAAAATAAATATCTATCTTAACCTCTTTATATAGATAGTCATATAGAGATAGAGAAGATAGATTTTCTTACCAATTCTTGAGCTGCGAGGCAGAAATCTCAGAACCCTGGAGAAATGAAATTTGGAACATATTAATTAGGCAATGTACGGAAAATATATAATTTAATTTTATACGTACATGAAGACTAAGTTTATCAGCCCATATTTGAATTGAGGCAGCTTTCCTCTGCATGTCAGGCTCATTCTGTAAAGCTTGTTCAATCATGGTTACTTGCATGTGATTCATTATGTTGCGTTTCCTTTTTCTCAGCTGTTTTTCCTCACTTGCCATGCCATTTGAATCCAATCCATTTGTTTCAATGTTCTGACCATCTCCTTCGCTTTCATGAAAAACCCTAGCATTAAAACTTTGAGGCAAATCAATCCTGTGTTCTTGCCTAACTAAAGCATTAGATGGATCTATATTTAACTGGTTCAGTTCTTCCACAACTGAATTGTCCGAAACGCCCTTGTTCTCGTTTCCATGTGGATTTGGAGATCCTTGATTCCCAGCGTTACCCTCCTACAGGACAAAAATATTACTTCATTGCATTCGCCATCATATTCATATGTAATTTAATTTAATAGACGAACAAAAATGGAATGAAGATTTTACTTCGGTTTTGTCGATATTGGATTCTGGAGTAATTAGTGGATCCAGCTGAGAAATGAATACCCTACAGAAACCAATGAAAATGAAGATAACAAGTAACTTCATATAAATGCGGGATTTAAAGTTCGATCAATTACCTAAACAGCTGTACATCATCCTGATTAAGGAATCCAGGAATTAATGATTCTGCATGAACCAATAGGGAACCTACACATATAAATATAAAGCATCACGTTATTATGTTAATTAATTAAGCAAAACCATGTTTTTTCAATCATTAAGAAGAGCTGATGAAAGGATAAATACGCAGGTTTTGGCTAATAACAGCAGCCTTTTCAGCTCCAGCATCATTTGAAACTCCATACGGTAAATTAGGAATTTCCTTCTGCAAGCACTGCAGGAATGTATTCAGGAAGAGATCCTTCTCCTCTGTGAATCAAAACTAGTTCGGTTAATTACAACATAGTGGAACTGGATTTTTAAAAAAAAAAAAAAAAAACAAAATAGTTAAAGCCTCAAAGTATTCACCTTTACATAAATCCGGAATAAAACAAGTGAGATTTGCTACAACTTTAACAAGTAAAGATGTTCTCTGAAACGCATAAGAAGTCCGAGAAACACGACACGCATTAAAAGTAGATTCCGGAACATCTGATGATGTCAGCACACCCAAAACCCATCCGGCTGCTGCCAACGAATCATAATCCAGAGTTGCATCTTCTTCAGAAAGCCGAGACTCAGAGGAACACCAACTAGACAGGAACTCCGCATGTGGTAGCAAAAATATTGTTGTCAGAACTTCAGTCTGCATAAAGAAACGTTGAAATTTCAAAAATCATATTAAATCATCAACATAAAACAAACATGTTAAAAGCTTACAAAGTTCATGGTGATGTAAGATCTAAAGTTAGAATCATCAGAGAGAATGTCTGTTAATCGCATTGCATTAAGTTGCAGAAGTCCACGTGGATAGGTTTTGTCAGAGAAAGCAGCAAGCCCATTCAGATCTCCACGAAACATTGTCTTCAACAATTCAAGAACCTAAATCACGCAAAAAAAAAAAGAAATAAACTGGATATGGTAAATATTATAATAATAAACTATATCATGAAAGAAACCTGGAATATAGTTGACTTTGCTAAAGTCAAACCCGCAGTAGTGCTGGCAGCCACATCCAAGAAAGAGACGCTTTCTACTTCACAAAGATGCAGTAGCTGCAGAAAGTCAAGATTAATAATACTATTTATTAACAACACCATAAATGAATAAAACATATAATGTTTTCATATTAACATGATCTTACAATAGACAAGACTTTTGACTTTAGCCTGGAAACAACAGCCATAAGATACGATTCTTCACAGAATGGTAATTTCATGATGTCATGAGCCAATAAAAGTATGCCACCTTCTCCACATAGTTCCTGAAGGAAAGAAATAAATATCACAGTCAACACAAGAAGCATCTAGAAGAACAGGTGTTGTATTTGTAGAATTGTATAAGATTCAAGATGGAAATATTTAATAAATGGGAAACCTTATTTTTAACGAGGCGCTCACGAAAGAATCTTTGTTGGCAAAGTGACTGAAGAAATTGAAGTGAAGCTTCACAATGCTGACACAGACGGTTGACTTCAGCAAGATTTGACCGCATGCCAGTATCAGTAAACTGAGACAACCTCACTTGAAGAAACTGAATGTCTACGTGGACAGCAGCAAAAGCTACAGGCAAAAATATATCAACCTGACACACATTCATGTCAGAAAGGATCTCAATAAATATTATATAAAACTATGCTGACATGTCATGATGTCACCTTAGGGTGTGCAAGAAGGACTAGTGCAAGTTCATTCCATTGTGAAGAAATAAAGGCTGTTAACAGATACAGACTGCAGGCCAACAGTGCTGAATGCACCAGAGCAAGTTGACTTTCCTGGTTGACCAAAAATATGTGTTAGTGCAGAACAATAACGGTAAAGGAAAGGTTAAAAGTATGTACATGGTAGGACTGAGTTAACCTTTTTAAAGCTAGCAAGAACAGTGATTAGGTAAAAGATCAAATCAAGCATCTGTTCAGATATTTTCAGATCATCAAGCAAAATCTGTATTGTGAAAAATAAGTTAGTAAAGTCAACATTAAGGGAAGAATGAAATTAAATAGAACACAATTTGTTCAATCACCTGTTCAAGTTTGTTGTTGCGGGGTGCAAGATCACACAGGGAATGTAACAGTCGAATACCACCTAACAAGTATCTGAAGAGTTCTTCATCTCTCTTAGAAGACAAAAGTTTTGCAATTAGGTGAATCACAAAATTTCTTGCTAGGGCTTCCACATCGATCTGAAACATCAGGCTTTGATGAGGCAAAGGCTTAGTGATGTAGAAACATGATGTAATGCAAAATTTACCTGATTTGATGATCCAGTGCTGGTAGTCCATTGAATAGTATCATTGTCTGCATCCCTAATTAACTTGCTAAGCTCTTGAGAACTTAGTGTATGTAACTCTTTGATAGCTGAAACCAAATCAATTGCCTGCATGTTGAAGCAAGATATACATTACAGAGAGAATGTGAAGGAGTTTACATTTGTGAATTGTGTGGTTCTAGTTTCAATTGGAAATATCATTAATCTCAGTATCAAGAGTAACACTTTTCAAATGTAGAATTATATCATCATGATGGTGCTTTCAGTTTAGCACTTGATGCATTAAAATTCATTTTGAGAAAATCAGCTTCAGATACGAGTCTTCATTAGATGAATTTTTTCTAGTTATTCTTTCATTGGAATATATTTCCAAGAATAACTATCTCACATTGGACCTTTAATATATATGGACATGGAAAACAGTCATCAAGTCCTAGAAGCTCTAGAAAATGGAACTAGATATACAAGGAAAAGAGGCATCTACAGTTGTTCCTACCAACTGCAGCAAGACAATGATTAAGAATAGTATTAATTAATTAAGCAAAACTAATTGCGTTTCAGGAAGAATCCGCAGCAAGTGATTAAACAGGACGAAATGCGCAAAAATGATTAGACCTAAACAAACCTGACAGTTCCAATAGCTCAACCACCACCCACGGCGTCTCACCACATATCAGTGGCGGAAATAAAAAAATAAAGCACAAAACCGGCTGATCAACAGGGACTCACAATTATCGACGCAACAACAAAATTCAACTCGAAAATTCAACTTATTACTCACTTGTTTCGCCCTGCATGGTGCATCCTCCTTCGCAGGCCGCATTCTTGCTTTCCTCAACCAGAACTAAGAGGCAAAAACAATGCAAAACATTACAATTCATAGATACAAGTAAATTAAGTCTCCACTTCACAAGATAACCAAATAAACCCTAGTTTTTTTGTTAGGGGAGAAAATTGAAAGAACATTTGTAAATTTTACAGAGATTACTGTACAGCATGTAGCATATGAACAATTAGAGTTTAAATTTCGAGCAATTAGAAACTAATTACCAAGAACTACGCAGCTCCAAGTCGATGATTGCACTTAGGCACGGAAAACTGAGACAGATTTTTTGAACCCTAGAAATACGCTAAATATGATGATTTAAATGCATATCCGAAGGAGGCTGGCTACACATATGTCGTGTCTCTTCACTATTTTTAGCAGATTATCGTTGAGAAATCAATTCGTTCTTAGGGTGTGTTTGACGTGCAATTTGAAAACTATATTGGCCGTATACGACGATGCATTTAATATTTTGTATACGTTATTATTTTTGAAAAAGAAAATGTAATATATATTCATTAATTGCGTTGATTCAGGTAATATATTTCTTTACCATTTAATGTAATAATTTTATTCATTTAATGTAATGAATATGTTGTTATTTTATATAAATGATTAAAAATAATAAGGTTACTATATCAAAGTATTTATGTTAAATTTATGGCAATTTATCTTGGAATTTATCTATGGAGTATTATCTTGAAACATCAAGTTAACTATGGAGTATTAATTATGGGAAATATTATCATAATTAAATATGAAATTTATTAATTACAAAAAATATTATTCATAATTAATGCATTTCACATTTAATTATGCTAATATTTTCTATAATTAATAATTCTTATTTGTGTCCGTAGTAAAAAATCACATTTATATTTTCACTAAGGTAGATAATTTGTACATAATAATTTTTTTCCATACACAACAATTGGTGCTTTAAAATGTTGTACCGTACACCTCAATAATGCATAAATTGTTGTGTATGACAAAAAATTATTGTGTACGAATCACTTCCCTTTCACTAACAACTACTATATATATATATATATATATATATATATATATATATATATATATATATATATATATATATATATATATATAGTTTGAATCTTCTATTTTAATAAAAATCTTTTTTTTGTCACATATCACATTTTTATTTATTTTGTCCCATATCATTTTTTGGTTATTTTAAATAATTTGTTTACATGTAATTTTATTGTTTTTTTCATTTTATCAAAATTACATATAATATTTAAATATAATAATTGTAATAAATGTATACTAATTTCATTAATGAAAAAATTTTTCTACTTACAATATTTCTAAATTAAAATCTAATTACTTCTTTTGTTTATTTATTTAAATTTAAAAAGAAAATAAGCATTTCAATTTCAATAATTCAATATTTTTCTCATTTTCTTATAAATTTAAATTCGTAAATGTTTATACCTTCATATTTAAAATTCAAAAAAAAAAAACTCATGCAGTACACAAGACTCGCAACTTGTTTATAACGAAAGTAAAACAAATATTGAATTGTTGAAATTGAAGTGTTAGTTTCTTTTTTTAAATTTAAATAAATAAACAAAAGATTAATTGAGTCTAACTTAGAAATGTTAAAAGTAAAAGGAAAGTTGTATTAATTAAAATCATAACTATTTATTATTACATTTATTACAATTATCACATTTAAATATTATGAAGAATTTAATAAAATATTTAAAAAACCCATAAAATAACATGGAGGAAAAAAAATTTAAAATAACCACAACATGATATGCGGCAAAATGAATGACAATATAACATACAGCAAAATAAGATTTCTATTTATTATAGTAGAAGTTGTGAAATTCGTGTCTCATACGGGATTATATATATATATATATATATATATATATATAGAAGTAGGTTTATGCGAAAATATAAATATCTTGCGAAAACGCGAAAACAGATTTTATCTTGTGAAAATCAAGCACATGTACTATAAAAAAATAAATTTATTAGCAATAAATTAAATATAGTAAGTTTACATTGGACGGTGTTATAGTAATATAAATTTAAAGACGGTTTTGATAATTATATTTTTTTACGTCCTTAATCATTTTTAAATTCATGTTTTCTTAATAAAAATGTTAAAAATCATACTTTGCTAATATGAAACAATTTATCATCTATCATCGATTATCATCATATATTTCAAAGTTTGGATGAATTATTTTCCAAAATATTGAATGGTTGAAATTGAAGTTTTCATTTCTTTTTTCACTTTAAACAAATAATTCAAAGTAAAAAGAAAATATCGTGCATTAATTTAGAAACTTAAAAAGTAAAAAGAAAGTTGCATTAATTAAATTTATAGTCAATTATTATTACATTTATTGCATATAATATGAATTACAGAAAACCACCTACAAAGAAACATATTATCTTATTTTGTCACATTTCAAACTCTCATTCATTTGGATATATGTTATGTTATAGTTATTTTAAATTAATTTTTTTCTACATATTATGGTTTTTTTTTTAATTAAATTCCACATAGTATTTAAATATAATAAATATAATAATAAATGGTTATGAATTTAATTAATGAAACTTTCCTTTTACTTTTAAAATTATTAATTTAAAGTCCAGTTATTTTTTATTTATTTATTTAAATTATCTGTTTAAATTTAAAAGAGAAATAAGCATTTAATATCAATAATTCAATATTTTTCTTAAAAATTCAAACTTTTAAATGTTAAGATTTTCATATTTAACTTTTTTTTTTCTTTTGAATAAACATGTGTCTTACACGTGTTTATTATATATATATATATATATATATATATATATATATATATATATATAGAGAGAGAGAGAGAGAGGGAGAGAGAGAGAGAAAAAGTTTGAATTTATAATGAAAGTAAAAAATAAATATTGAATTATTGAAGTTGAAATTAAATTTAAACAAATAATTTAAATTAATGAAAAAAGAAAATAATTGAGCTTTAATTTAGAAATATTAAAAGTAAGAGGAAAGGTGCATTAATTAAATTCATAGTCATTTATTGTTATATATATTACAATTATTACACTTAAATAACCACAACATAACATGTAATAAAATTTAGTTTAAAATAACCACAACATAACATGTGACAAAATAAGAGGATATGTTTCGTTGTAGTTAGTTTTTTTGTAATTGGTAGTATATACATGATTAAAAGCCCTTTGGCTTATGAACAGTAACATGTTCAAGCCAGCTAGGATTTAGATTCATACACATATTGCCCTTCGTCTTCCTTCGTCTTCTTCTTTTGTCTCATCACTGCTTTTCTTTACCAGTTAGAATGTCATTTGGCAACTCCATTTTAATCCTTATTCCATTTCAATCATGTTTAAACCATACAGAAAATTGATCTTTATGTTCGTGTGGCGATAAAATTCAGTAAAGAATTCGGAATCCGCTTAGAACAAACTCTACCATGAATGGAAGGACAAGTACTTGTGTTATAAACCCCTTAAAAAGCTTCTCAATCAGACTAATTGTTCAAAATGTAACACCATTTTAGAAAAGGGTAAATCTTGAAAATTTATTGAAATAACATCTAAAACCATGATGAGATGTGTAACCCAAAAACAACAACATATAGTTATTAGGTTGTGTGGTATAGGTACTCTACACCTTATGGCCACATCAACTTTCATGTCACCATGCCAAGTAGAGGGATGTATTCACCATCCTCATGCCAGTGAAGATGCAGCTACCAAGAAAGAACAACATCATCCTCACGCCAATGAAGATGCACCAACTAAGAAAGAACAAGCTTATGGCATGCTATGGTCTGTCTCACATCTAACCACACTACAACCTCACCACGTAAGTCGGTAGTGTTTCCATATGGCCATGGAAGCCAAATCACCACCACACCTTATGTATGACAGTACATCATATAACATCATATCTAACCTTTTACTTGTTTTAATGGAATATCACCTCAGAGATGTAACATATGAAATTCAAACTTGAGACAATTTTTTAAAGTTATTTAACATTGAACTAATTATCACTAAGCCACATTAGTGGTGGTATCCACACTCCTGCTAGACTACATGTATAATATAACAGTATCACTTACTTTCACCAAGATATATCAACTATATAAAGGTGATATCGATTGACATGTCATCTTCTTCTTTTCAATAATCGTTTCTTACATTACATAATGTCATTATCTTTATTACTTAGTGAGATTTTACATACATAGTGTAAATTTGGAAACTCGATGAGTAAAGGATGTATATATATGTATAATGGAAGACATACAATTCCTATTTTTTCCATTTTAGGATACATGTCACTCTGTTTCTTTATAATCATTATATGGGCACATATCATTTTATTATTAGGCTACCTTGAAATGCACATTGTTCCAGCATCACGTTATAAACACATCAATATGTTTCATCCTAATAAAACATGTTTCCTCTATAGAAATGCCTCGAAACACATGTAAGTATCTCGTTTAGACTACCTTGAAACATATGTAGTTTAGTTATCATCTGACAACATATCATTCTAATTATTTAAAATTCATGGTAAGGGACACATTATGTACCACTATATGGACTACATTGCATCTCACCTTAATCATCGTTATTTAACTGTTTTATCAATATTTAAAATGAATGTACATTAATGTGAAATGAAATTTATAACATTAACATATATGAATTTCATAGTACAACATTTTGTTATTGGCATGCCTTCTTTATTAATAATAACGTATGAAAAACTCATATAAGATATACTATAATTGAGGATCATTAATTTTACTATAAATATAAGATTAAATATCAATATTAATGAGATTTACTACAATTTTACTGGGTCAGGTGATTAAGTCAATATACAATGTTATTTTGATTAATATGGAGTTTTCCAAGTAACTAATATAGAAATGTAATGTTTAAGATTTAAAATAATTTAAATTTAGTAAGTTATTTATAATATTGTAATTTAATGAAAATGTTGGCTTCATGAGTGCGTCAACATGATATGTTCAATTTTAAAATTACATTCATAGTTCAACATATGGATTTTAATTGTTATAAATGAATAAAATATACATATGGGTTAACATGATGTTTACGAAGCTTTTTTGTATATGAGAGAATTTGTATAAAAAGGGTAAAGGAATTAACAAAAAAATAAAACTGGTCATTTATTTGTTATCTCATGTTTACAGGATAAGTATATAATTTGTGATATAAAACTAAAGAGAAAAAAAATAAGAAATGAAAGAGATAGAGATTATCAGTGATGTTCTTGTTGGATTTATGATGAGCTCTCAAGTAAGCGGTATGTTCAGAAAAAAAAGGACATTGTTCTTCATTATTGGAGAAAACAGATATGAATGCAAAGTTTATGATATTTAAAATGCTTTTTATCAAGCAACCCATTTTATAATTTGTTTCTATACAAAGGGTGATTCTTATGAGATCGTGAATGTAACATAATAAATACTAGTTGTGTATCATTTTAGTAACCTAAATGGACCTCTAAAG